AAAGGTAGGGGTGTGTGTGTGTGTGTGTGTGTGTGTGTGTGTGTGTGTGTGTGTGTGTGTGTGTGTGTGTTACTCTAATATTGCCTTTGCCACGTGAAATAAAGTATACTCACCTTGGACATTTTTCGAAGGTGTAGAAGTGGTGAAAAGCTGGGAGAACTCGTTAACAATTGTCCTGTTCTGGCTTGGTTTTCCTCCTGAGTGCTTCTGGAATACTGACAACCAGCCCCATCTCCTTTTCTGTAATGTGTTCACTAGAGTGTGCTGACCCAGACATTCCCTAGACAATGGACTATGTTGGAATTCACCATTTCGTGCCAGCATATAAATGCTCTCGAGTAAACACCACTCCTCTCGGGATGATCTACTTGGTTCCTTTTATTGTCCAGTCTTTTTTTCTGAACATCCTTTCTTTGGTTAGGATCCTATTCCTTTACCCATTAGTTGTTGGAAATACTTGCTTTCTGGTTTTCCACATACTTTTCTTTCTGCTCCCATAAATGCTGAGTCACTTCCATTGCACATGCTAACCAAGCCATTGGTGGTGGCAGCTGTGACTCACACCTTTAATCTCAGCACTCAGGAGGGAGAGGCAGGGGGGGGGCTGGGAATTTGAGGCCAGCCTGGTCTACAGAATGAATTCCAGGACAGTCAGGGCTGTTACACAGAGAAACCCTGTCTTGAAAGAACAAACAAACACAAAACAGCATGTGCTAACCAGGCATCCCTCAGAGTGGCTTTTTCTACCCCCTTTTTTTGATCCTTTGTGGCCCATGGATTGCAGAGGTCAGGTATTCATTTTTAACATGTTTTGGGCATGGGGATTCTTGTACCGTTCATATATGAACTTGAATTTTGATTTTTCAAAAGAGCTTAATTTCTCTTCTCACCCATACTCTGAGACATGACAAGTTCCCTTGTTACACAGTTTTCTAGTCTTTCATTCAGGGAGCACTTCCAGTGTTTGCTCACAATAGGTGCTATCAACATGGATGTCTGCCTCACAGAGATCAAGGCCGGCTCTTTCATGGACCTAAGACCACAGATATCAAGGAATCCTCTAGAGCAGTTGGCTGCCTCGAGCTGCCTTGTGAGTCTCAATCGCAGACTTATGCCTGTGTTTCCGGCACTTGTGCATTTTCCCTTCCTTCGTGTAAGCTTGCTTTTGTGTGTGTGTTCCAAGAGGGACCCTCTCAGGATACACAGTTGCCATAGCCTTCAGGAGCCTCCTTCTGATAGCAAAAGATGAGAAGGCTTCCATATGAAAATGCCTTCCATTCTGGCTGTGTCTGATCGTCATAGCAACTCAGGGATGGCTGAGCATAGTGACTAGTGTGTCTACCCCCAAGAAGGACAAGACTTGGTGGGTACCCTCCAACTCTCCCTTACTTTCAGAAGACTAAATGACTTACTTTCTGTGCACTCTTTAAACAGTGCTATGTGCTCAAGAATGACTGATAACTGCCACTGTTTTCTGGCTCCTGGTCCAGGCTTGCACTGTCCTATTTTGGGTTCACATCTTACTTCACAGAAAGGCATCAGTTAAGCCTTTTAGGAGATTTTCAGAAGTCATCTGTCTCTGGTTGGCTCAGCATGCACATGGCCCTTAGGTTTAATTCCCAGCCCTGAGAAAACAAAAGGACCTTATCTGATGGGTCATTTCCAGTGGAGGACCACTCCTGCTAATTTCCTTTGGCCCCTCTGAAGCAGATGTTATTATCATTAGCATTCCTTGACCTTCCTAGCCCAGTTGCAGAGTGACAATAGTGACATGACATGTAGTGCCAGGGGAGTGAAATGGGAACTGGAAGGAGCCCAGTCAGACCTCTTTGCATGGCTGTTTCCTTTACGACCCTAGGCGGATGTACCTTAACCTTTGCATGCCTGAGAACTGGTTCTCACAAGGGCATTGTGCCCATTTGGGGTCCTATAGCATCTTAGAAGAAGTCTGCCTCTGTGATTTCCACCCATGTAGAATTTATAGTCCATAGGATGACAAAGCACTTGGTTTATCTACCTATCAGCCCTTCGGATAGACATGTGCTGACAATCAGTTTGTCCCCAGCATTGGAGTGATATCTGGACTGTGTACCCATGGCTTTTAGCCAGGTCTTCCTCTGTACCCATTCGCCATGGCAGCCCTTCGGGAATACAGTGAAAGCTTCTCATTGGCGTTGTGTGCCTTGTTCCACAGGAAGAGATGGCTGAGCTGAAGGCGCAGCTCTACCTGTTGGAGAAAGAGAAGAAGGCCCTGGAGCTGAAGCTGAGCACCCGGGAGGCGCAGGAGCAGGCCTACCTAGTGCACATTGAGCACCTCAAGTCCGAGGTGGAGGAACAGAAGGAGCAGAGGATGCGGTCCCTGAGCTCCACCAGCAGCAGTGGCAAGGAGAAGCCTGGCAAGGTGCGGCCAGGAGGGTGTCAGGGTGCCCTCTGTGCAGGTGTTCCCGTCTGCCTTGACCTTGGGCCATCCCTCCTGCTGTTGCCTCAGTTTCCTTGTTTACACATGCATGGGAGGTCCTAAGATATTTGTAAAGAAGCCACATCCTCATTAAAAGGCAGCATCTCACATTATATCAAAGTTTAGACATATCCACACACTGCTGTCTTATGAGAGGAGTGGCCTGTGCAGTGTTCTCACCCAGCTTCTAGCTGTTCCCCACGACAGCCATCACTGAGTTGAGACGCTGGTACTTCGGTATTGTCATCTGTGCTTATCTCCCTTAAAACTGAGCAAGGAATTCTGGTCTTCACTTATATGAAGAAAATAAGGTTCCACAGAAATGAGAGGTTTTGCTACTAAAAACAACAGCATAGGGCTTAAACCACACCTGGATAACAGGCCACTTCCTGCCTTCTCCACCACCCTGGCTCTTGGTGCCTTAGTAAGCAGGAAGAGTAGGTGGAAGGAAAGCCTTGGATTACAAAATATATATGTACAGAGACCAGGCTTCTAGAAATAACATTCACAAATTCACATTTGCATCAGTCCCCCTCCCATAACCCAAGCTCATTCTGTCATTTGTAGTTCCCTTCCACGTCTGCATTGGAAAGAAAGAAAACAAAATGCTTCAGACCCTAATGAATTCTATCCCTCACTCACTCAGGGAACTGTATGTTCAACACATCATATTTAATATTCCCAATGACAAATGTCTCCCGACACTGTTGTGCTCAGATCCAGGACATGCAAGCATGTGCTGACTGGCGGATCATGTAAACAGTTTTTCACAGTGCAGTTGTAGGTACTGCAGGGTGTCTCCAGCAAAGTTGTATACTGGGGAGGGAGGGACAGAGGGAGGAAGGGAGGAAGTGCACTGGTACTGTGTAATGTGAACTGTTGCTTCCTAAATAGCTAAGAAATCTGAAGCACACTGCACAAACAGCTGGCAGTGTCAGCTTCCCCACCTCACTCTTCAGATGAGCCCATGACACTCACAGTATGGCAGTCTGCTAAGCCAGAAGTCCCGAGGCCCTGATGCGTCCTACCCATTCATTCTCTTGCAGGCTGTGACTAGATAGCCACAGCATGTCAGGACCAAGGTGAACTGCTGTCGTCTAGGAATGTCTGCTGAGGCTGATGGACAAACGTGGTCACAGTACAGTTACAGGGCATCCCAAATGCAAGTTTCAACTGCCAGTACCCTGTGAGACCAGGGTCAGGGCCTACAGATCAGGAGCTTGAGAAGAGATCCCCTGAAGAAATGACCAGTAGGGAGTGGGAGCTAGTTTCTGAAGTGGATCGAGTAGAAGTCAGCAAGGCCTCAAGCAAGGCGAGGCTTGGAGACTGAGAGGAAAGGGGATCAGTGTATTGGCTGGAAGGCTCAGCTTGCAGTGTTATCCCAAGGACATTGGGGAATGAGGGAAGGGCTTGGATGGAGTTGGGGTGTTGTTGGCATATCTCAGCATCTGGGAGTGGCTATGCCAAGTGCAGTAGCACCCAGGCAGGGGCCATGTGGTGGTACTTCATGTAATCATACCCAGGGTTTAGGAAGATGGTGTTTTTTTCTGTTCCATTCACCTTCAGAAGCTTTGTATGACTTGCATGACTGTTTAAGCTTGTTGGTCAGTTTGGGACAGTGCCTTCAACAGAGTGCCAGTGTCTGTCTATGTATATCCTTAGGGTGTGGCAGAATGGACTCAGTGGGCTCTTGTCAAAGGCCCATGAATGAACATTTCCTCCCAGTTCTTGGTGTTTATTTTGACTGAGAGTCACTGTGCTCCGAGGAATGCCTTCAACACACAGACATTTCTCTGCCAGCAAAGGCCAGCTGGCTTTTAAAACAGCTCTGTAAAACGCTAAGTTATAGAGGTACCCAGTACTTTCAGTTTGTAGAATGCAGTAGAGTAAGCTGATTATTTTGACTTATTGGATATTGGCTCTGTTTGCTATTTCAGTAAAGTCTTCCATCTAGGGCCTAGATTCTAGGCTAGTCATTGGTGTTATTTGCTGGAAATGAGACCACCAGTATAAAGAAAGGAGCCAAGGTTTTGGTGAGCAGGGCAGGGAGAAAATTCTTGGGAGTTTGTCCATCAAACCAGCTACAGCTGCCCAAATGAAACCTGGTGTTTCCTACAAACAAGGGCTGCAAAAACCTCATGCAACTTGCATGGGACCAGAGGCCCTGTCTTCTGAAGAGACTTTGACAAGCACTGCTATTTGAGTTTCTTGTCATTTGCTCGTGGCAGAATATTTGAACCTTTTTCTTTCCGGACAAACCATTACTAGTCAGTGGGCTGTATATATCCAGGTGGTGGGTCACAGATGAGCCATGGATGCATGAAAAGTGAAAGTGCTTCTAGAATTCACCATCAGTCTTGGGTCTCTGAGGGCAGTTATTTGGAGAGGTGCAGCACAGGTGAATGACACAGAAGGGGACATGTTGGCCAGGCCACTGCTCAGGCACCCCCTGGAAGAGGGCCATTGTGTTTTAGAATAGGCTAAGGAGGCAGGTGTGTCTCCTACCATCTGGACTTTAGTGTGGGATCATGGCACAGATCACAAAGCTTTTTATTCTCAGGCCTGGAACACAACATCATCAGTGTCTATCCCTGGCCCCTAGACCCAAACACCTCATTTTGCAGGATACCTGCTGCTCAGCATCTCTGTGGAGAAAATATTTTTCTTGTTTAGCCATGGCTAATGTTTGTATGTCACTTCAAGAGTTCTAATCTTCCATTCCTCATCTGTAAAACATGACATGAATTCTCCATGTGATGCTGCTGCATGGAGAAAAGGAGCTCTTCCTTTTCTCAAGTTTTATGATTACATGGAACAGAACAAAACTCCCTCATTTAGAGAAAGCAAGTTTCCTCTCAAAAAGAGCAGAGTGTCAGCAAAGACATTTATGTATATTTGCCTTCTCAAGAGACTCACATGGAACCAGAGGGCCTGGCTTTGAGGTCTGGATCTGCTAGCTTCTAGCTAGTAACTTGGGCAGGGTTACTCCAGTGCCTTGGTATCTTCCATGGTGGATAAAGACAATAGTAGATAGTATGGCTGCCTCAGAGGGTCCTTCCTAGTGACAAGGGAGCAGTGGTGTGTGGCAGGCTTAGACCAGTACCAGGGCAATAAGTGTTCCCCAGGCTTTTCTTCATTCAGGGCAGCACGTAATGGTAATGAGAGATCTGGGAACAGAGGAGACAATAAGATTTGCTGCCTCGCTTTCCATCAGCTGGCCCAAGGGTCCCACAGGCATGGCGCTGCAGTCTTGGTCATTGAAGTGCTCCTGGGCTTTGCCTCATATCTGACAATGAGTATGTTTGTCGTCCTCAGGAATGTGCTGATGCTGCGTCCCCAGCTTTGTCACTGGCTGAAGTAAGGACAAATAGTGACAGTGAGCTGGCCACAGAGTTTGCCAATGCCATCCGACGGTAAGCAACCCCCATGCCCTCATGTGGCTCCTTTCAGGTGGGAGGGATTTTTGGCACACTTTCATAGCAGCTGCTCATTCCAGCTCTTCCAGGGTCATATTGGTCTTCCTGGATAGAAGGCGGCGCTGGTATGTTTTACTTGTGCCTCCAACATTGCAGGCTAGAAATGGAAAAACCTGCCATTCTGAAAAGTGAGTCTTGAGTGTTGGCAAATAGACAGTTATTCCATTTGCAAGTAAGAAAATATCACTTTCCTGGTTTGTATGTTGTCACATTGACTAGACCCTTCTTTCTAGATTAGGTAAAAGGTGATAACGACAACAGGCACCCTCCCCATTTCAAGATTGCATTCTTCAACATCAGTAGCCCTTGCCCCTGGGAAGCCTCATCTCTCTCTTCAGTTCTTGGACACTTTCCTCTGGTATTTTAGTGTTTCTTTTCCTACATTCTACTTCTTCTTTTTCAAAGAGAAAGAGATGCTGATGCCTTTAGACCTGTCTTCCACAACCTAACTTCTCTCACTTCCTGTCACCCCCATTGCTTTGAGGCCCAGAGCATGTCTGGCCAACAGAGAAGGAATTTCATGTTTTCTACTTAACCCAGTATACCCCAAATATCACTTCAGTCTGGTATGCATTTTATACCTACATTACTTCTCAAGACCAAACCAACCAAAATTCAAGTTCTCTGTAGCTGCATGTATCTGTTGCACCCTGTGACAGTATGTGACATGAGAAACACACTGTAGCATTTCACGGAGAATGAACTGTCAGCTGGGTTTTACAGCTCGCTTAGTTTTTGGTTGTAGCTCCTGTGGTGGTCCTGCTCATGTTTAATGATTTTGCTGCTCAAGTCATCTTTTTTTTTTTTTTAAAGATTTTATTTATTTATTATGTATACAACATTCTGCTTCCATGTATATCTGCACACCAGAAGAGGGCACCAGATCTCATAACGGATGGTTGTGAGCCACCATGTGGTTGCTGGGAATTGAACTCAGGACCTCTGGAAGAGCAGTCAGTGCTCTTAACCTCCGAGCCATCTCTCCAGCCCCCTGAAGTCATCCTTTTAAATGCAGCGATGTCCTCTTGTATCTCTATGAGGATATTTATTACACCTGCTTTTCAATTTCATTTTGTCTCTAGCTGCCTGTTCCCTTGCAATTGAGCTTTGCCCAAACTTCTATTTGCTGTTTCTGATTTGTGGACTTGGATTTCTTTCTTTTTGTTTTCTTTTGGTTTTCTCAAGACAGGGTTTCTCTGTGTAGCCCTGGCTGTCCTGGAACTCAATCTGTAGACTGGCCTTGAAGAGATCCATCTGCTTCTGCCTCCTGAGTGTTGGGATTAAAGGCGCGTGCACCCCACCACCCAGCTAGTGTGCTCGTATTGCTAAGCATCATGATTGGATTGAGTCCAGTGTCTCCCAGTGTCACTGGGGTTCTGTGAGATGCTGTCCACCAAGTGTGTCAGTTCATCTCCTGGGCTGTTTGTCTCTGCTGGCTGACAACAGCAGTGAGTCAGCCTAGCTGACACTGTATCACCCCTCCTTGTTGAGACAGTTGACAAGCTGATTCCATTCAGGTCCCTCTGACTCTACTTCCCACCGGGGCTCTTGTCTGCATTCTCAGTTGAAGTTTCTTCTTTTAGGAAGAAGTAAATTGTCTACCTTAAACTTTTCCTGTTCATTCCTGGTTTCTGGTACACAAGAGCATCAGCTGCTTTCTAAAAAGCTTAAGGACTTTTACAAAGTACTTTCCCCATTAATTCTAGGGATTTGATGTAGGAAGTTGTGACAGTGCACTCTCAGCTAACCTGATTCCCCTGTGGTCCACCTGTGTGTTTTATACCAGTTGTCTGGATTTGACTTTATAGGGCCTTTTCTACCTTCCTGGTTTGCTCAGTCTCTCAATGGTTCTTTCTAAGTTGGAATGGCCCTGCATTTACTTTGCAAGTACCTCTTGGGATGTTGCTCCATTGTGATTGCTCTGCCAGGAGCAGAAGATGGGCACAACATGGGACAAATGCAATAATGTCCTTGTACCAAAGACTTGGATTAAATCCACTCTCCAGGTCCACTGGGGGAGTCCTTTAGATATTGTATCTGTAAACTAGGCTCCTACATTTTTCAAATTCCCAAAGCCCCAGAGGCTTTTGCTGGCACCAGGAGGATGCAGGTTGTGCTGACTAAACATAAAGAGATTTCATTTATCCCCTGTCACGATGGATTTCCAATGAACAGCCCTAAGTTGGTTAGCATGGATTTCTAATCAAGAGCCAGATATATGGAGCCAAGAAAGAATCAGAGAAGCCAGAGGAAAAAGGAGAAATAACATAATTAGACTGTAAATATAGCTTGGAAGCTAGAATCATCATTTCATGAGGGAGCATAGTCCAGACACCGGAAGACTGAGGTTAGGGGGATGCTTCTAATTTTAAAACTGGAATGGAAACAAACACTTTTTTAGAAGGTGTCTGTCTGGTCATTAGCAGGCATAGGTGTGTGTGTGTGTGTGTGTGTGTGTGTGTGTGTGTGTGTGTTGGGGAGGATGGGGCATATATTTAAAGTTTTCAGTAGTTTTCTTCCCTGGGAGAAGAGCGCCATGGGCCATGCTCCCTGTTGAGCAGAACAGTGGGCTAAGGGTGGATAGAACACTGGTCCCTTCTTGGGGAGAGCTAGCAATTCCAAGGCAGAAGCTGTAACACCAGCTACTTCATCTGTCTTACTGCCCTGTTCCCACCCAGCTTTGATTTCTGGTAGGCCTTCACCACTGAGCCTTTTGGAATGTCCTTTTTCTTCTTTTTCGGTACAAAACCAGAACTCAATGCAGTCTCACATTTCTTTTTTTTGTTTGTTTTTTCTTCTCTCATTTGTTTATTTTGTGTTTAAAGATTTATTTATTATGTATACAGTATCCTGCCTGCATGTATTCCTGCACGCCAGAAGAGGGCATCAGATCTAATTATAGATGGTTGTGAGCCACCATGTGATGCTAGGAACAGATGGTTGTGAGCTACCATGTGACGCTAGGAATTGAACTCAGAACCTATGGAAGAACAGTTAACCTCTGAGCCCCACCTTTCTTTCTTTTTTCTCTCTCTTTTGTTTTTTTTGTTTTGTTTTGTTTTTGAGACAGGGTTTCCTGTATTGCTTTGGAGCCTGTCCTGGAACTTGCTCTGTAGACCAGACTGGCTTCAAACTTACAGAAATCCGCCTGCCTCTGCCTCCTGAGTGCTGGGATTAAAGGTGTGAGCCACCAATGCACAGCTCTGCTCCACATTTCTTATGACTCCCATCTGGTCTGGTTTTGTGCCCTCTATTTCCCTCAATATCTACTATGCTGTATTGCTTCCAAAATTACTTTACTTTTCTGTGAAATCCCTTTCTTAATAGGATCCAGCAGGCCCTAGTAAAAATTGGCAGACTGTTTAATCCTTGTATCAAAGTGAATTGGAAAATGACAGCCACAAGAAAGGGATTCTCAGAGATTGCTCTTCTCTGTGTGCAGATATGTCTATGTAGGCTGCCTTCAAGACCTGAGCACAACTGAGCAGAGAGTAGCCTGCTTCATCTCCATCAGTCATGGGATAGGATGGGCAGGGCAGATACAGCAAAGCTGAGTCATCTCCATGGTCCTCCAGTAAGACTGGGGAAATGAAGGTGCACTGACGTGCTGCCTCACCAGGGCTGGGTGATGAACCACAGCAGTCAGGGGCGCCACTAGATCTTACGTAGCTTCCTATTGCATGCTTCAAATGCTTCTCAACCCAGTTTATAATCCAGCCATTCCAGATTAACTGTCTTTCTGAGCTCAGGCCCCAGGCCCTTTCTCCATCTCCAGTCACACAATTCAACTTCTGGGAACATGCATCACTCAGTTATCATGCTGTGTATCTTCTCTGAGCCTTCAGTGGTACTAAGTGTGCCCATCAGTTTCCTTGGAGCACTTGGCTGTTAGTGGAACTCCCAAAATTCGGTGTCTCGGTTGCAGCATCATCAACATACTTTTGGAATCTTGGTCAGGAGAGAGAAAGCAACATCATTTATTCTAAGCTATATACACAGAGGGATGGATGAAGGGAAAAGTGGCCAATCTGTGCACAAGGCTTTTCAATAGAAGCACCCCCTGGGCCAACAGCAGCAGAATTTCCGCTGTTTTGTTAGTAGGACCATTACTTTGAAAGATGCTTTTTAAAAAATTTACACTAGCTGATTCTTCACATTCAGCTGATTTATAGTAGCAATCAAGCACTAGGAGTGGTGCCAAAGCATTCCACAAATGCAACATGGATCTGCAGGATGTTAATGAAATACAAAGTGGGCCTGTGGAATCATTATCATGGAAATAAATTGCTGAGGTCCAGAGCCAGGGGGTCTAGAGAGGAGGTGAAGATGACTGATGCCCACCCAGGGGTTTGAAGTGAGTGTTCCTTGAGACATTGAGATTTCCTTTGTCACTGCCCAGTATTTCAAAAGCCCAGAGCTGGCAGCCTCACCTGGAACAGCATAAAAGCAGAGTGGTGAGGAGCACCCTGGTATGTGGTAGTCATGGACAAGGGAGCAGTGTGCCCATGATAGTGCCACGTTCATTTCTTGAACACTAAAAACAAACTCCTCATAGAATCTGGCAAAAATGCTGGCTGCTCTTCTGCTGCTGCAATTCCTGCTGCTCCAGCTAAGCTCAGACAGAACAGCCATAGAACCTTGTTATCTGGGGACACATAATCCTGGCTCCACAGGTCTGTGCTCTTAATCAGAGCTCTTGTTTATTGCACATTCTACTTATCCCCTTCATGAGTCACAGGATTCTTCAGCAAAATGCTTAAGCACCCAGCTCTCTCTGCTGGTAGATTTCAGGGTGGGAACGCCAGGCAGCACTGTAGCACCTGGCTGTGGGCAAGTATCTCAGATTATTCATTTGTACAGCGAGCACAATGGCAATGCTGATGTCAAACGTTGTGAGAACTGATCTTATCCCGGGAAAAGACTTAGAAGTAGCTGTT